TATGGTCTGGATATGACGGAACCCAGGGCATACCTTAACGGGGTGTCGTTGTAGACCCTTGATTGGGTAGTCTGCGCACGTAGGGCTGTTTTCAGGCGTACGGGTCTTGATTCTTCGTCCGTACGTGCTGGCTGAGAGTTAGTCCCCTAGTTGGACGGCTCGTTCCTAGCCACATAGCCGTTTGAGGGCTGTTACGTGTGGACTAGTCAACAATCCTCGGTTGGATTGTTTCCCCCAGTACATGATGTGCATCATCACATGTACCCCCCCTTGTATATTGGTACTTGGACACAGTGGATATGGATACTTGGAAATGTCGGAACCCGGGGCATCCTTGACGGGATGTTGCTGTAGACCCTTGATTGGGTAGTCTGCGCCCGTGGGGATGTTTTCAGGCGTACGGGTCTTGATTCTTCGTCTGTACGTGCTGGCTGAGAGTTAGTCCCCCAGTTGGACGGCTCGTTCCTAGCCACATAGCCGTTTGAGGGCTGTTACGTGTGGACTAGTCAACAATCCTCGGTTGGATTGTTTCCCCCAGTACATGATGTGCATCATCACATGTACCCCCCCTTGTATATTGGTACTTGGACACAGTGGATATGGATACTTGGAAATGTCGGAACCCGGGGCATCCTTGACGGGATGTTGCTGTAGACCCTTGATTGGGTAGTCTGCGCCCGTGGGGATGTTTTCAGGCGTACGGGTCTTGATTCTTCGTCTGTACGTGCTGGCTGAGAGTTAGTCCCCCAGTTGGACGGCTCGTCCCTAGCCACATAGCCGTTTGAGGGCTGTTACGTGTGGACTAGTCAACAATCCCCGGTTGGATTGTTTTCCCCTGGTACATGATGATGGTGAGAGGTGGGTGTTATTATATATACATATATACTCATTGATAGGAATACATGTTACATTTGGTATATGTGGTTTTGATTCTGGATTTGAGATTCGTGAGTTTGTACTTTGTGAGTACCCTGTACATGTATGAATGTTTAAGCCATGGATTGGGAAGTGTGGTTCGGCAACATATACCTTGGGTAGGGTATGGTTGCGGGATCGAACTGATATAAAGAAAGAGATTGGGAATGTGTTTATTTTGTTTCATCGGAATCGGAGTTGTGACCATCGAGATGAGAACTACGTGTGACTTGATCCCTTGTCCAAGGGTACGTAGGTAGCCTGGGGTCTCACCTAAGTGCAGCCACGAATTATATTGTGTTTAAAAGATTTGATCGATTTTGAGTATGTGATTGGACTTTGATGTGATTGTTGGATTTGAATCCGGTTTAATGTTTTCGGTGGTATTTGTAAAGTTGTTTGAGGTCATTCATTGCATCGTTTATGCTTTATCCGACTTAAGAACATTGCTAGTTTTGTTTCGAACCATTTGAAGGCTGGAGGCCTATTATGTTTTTGCATGTTGATAACTTGTGAATGCTGCCAGTTGGGATATAAACTGTGATTTTTTTTTTTAACAGGTTGAAAATTTTGGGAAAAGTCAAATTTACAGGGGAGATTCTGCCGAATTTTCGGCAGAAAGTCTCGGTTCTTAGTAAGTGGGTCCGGCATCGGTGTGATGTCAAAAAATTTCCACAGGATTCATCTCAGGTTCCGAGGAATTCGGGGCGGGATTTGTTTCGAACCATTTGAAGGCTGGAGGCCTATTATGTTTTTGCATGTTGATAACTTGTGCATGCTGCCAGTTGGGATATAAACTGTGAATTTTTTTTTTAACAGGTTGAAAATTTTGGGAAAAGTCAAATTTACAGGGGAGATTCTGCCGAATTTTCGGCAGAAAGTCTCGGTTCTTAGTAAGTGGGTCCGGCATCGGTGTGATGTCAAAAAATTTCCACAGGATTCGTCTCAGGTTCCGAGGAATTCGGGGCGGGTCCTGTCAAAACGCACCATAATCATTTATATATAATGATTTACTACAATATTTTACACTTTATACATTGCATGGTAAGATACATGAGTGACTTAGTACCACAGAGAGTTCCTATGAGGTTCAAAGTTTTCACTATCTTCATCATCTCTATGTGTAGAGTAAGTGTATTGTGAAGAGTAGTCATCAAATAATAAATCACCAAAATAGTTTAGCATATTATCACAAAAACATAAGTGATATGGTGGTTAAGGTGTTGGAGGAGTAAAATGGTAGGGGTTCAAATCCTCTTTGTGTTTTTTTTCTCCCTTTTTTTTCCCTTTTTTTTCTTCTTTTTCCTTTTTTTTTTTCCTTTACATCGATATTTTCGATATTTTAGGGATATTACATCGATATTTTGACAAAATAGTGCTGAAGTGTGAGCGAAATATCAACATCGATATTTTCCGATATTATCATCGATATTGTCGATATTTATACGATATGTACATGGATATGTTCCGAAATATCCGTGATTCGAAAAAATCGAAATATCCTCGATATTTCGCCGATATTATCGATATTTCAAACTATGGTTGTGAGGTAGGTGGGTGCTCATAGCTGTGAGGCCATGAGGCAAAGATGAGGTCTTAGCTGTGGGGCCGTGAGGGGAAGGACCGGTGCTCACAACCAGGGGGCCGTGAGGTGGAGCAGTAGTCTCAACCATGGGGTTGCAAGACGTATGGATTGAGTCATTGCAATGGCCTTGCTTCTCGTACTTATGCTTCCAGCCATGGTTGCTAGGAAGACCTTGAATGAAAAGTGGATGGAAGGAATCGGATTCCTTAGATTTGAGAGCAACGCATTGAATATAACTCGATACTCTCAATGAAAGCACCAATTTGTTTGTGCAAATAATCTCACGGGAGATATTCACGAGAGATTCCTCCACCCTTTGAACTTCATTCTTCTTCTTCTTCCTCACTCCCTGTAAAATAGATTGGAGTCAACATACCACACCTTGGGGGTGTTGGCCAAAGACCCTCCAATGCCTAAGTCAGTTAGATGATCTTTAGGAAGATACAAAAATAACCAAAAGGTATGAGTTTTCTCTCATGGGGAGAGCTGGGTGGCCCGAGCCATGTCTGAGGGTGGCCGAAGCCATGGGGGGAGAGAGGAGAGAGAGAGAGAGAGAGAGAGAGAGAGAGAGAGTGGGGGGGGATTTTTTCTAGGGTTTTAGAATTACCTCAAGTGTGGTGAGATGCCATCTATTTATAACCTCCTTGCTTAGCTAGGGTTTGAAGAATAATCCCTATTTAATTAACATTATTCTTACCCAAAAACATGTGATAGGATAAATCGAAGAGATTTGCTGGAAATCAGATCCTTGATTTAGAGAGATATTCCTATCTTAAATCAAATAAAATTCCCTAAGGGTAATTAGTTGACCTAAGTAATATTCTTTTTTCCACGTGTCACCCTTTTATTGGTTGCCAAAAATATGTGTTCCTACAGAGGTCTAACCGAGTGAAAAATAGTATTGACTTGTAGATCAGTGGTCCTAAGTTCGAACTCCCATGACACCTTGGTAGTGTGCGAGAAACCCCCATTTCCCTTTATAGTTTAAATTATCGCTTGTATTCAATTACCATTGTTTTCACAACAATTATACCTATTTTCAAAATGGGCATCCAAATGACTATTTTCGATCATTTTTGTCAAAACATGCACCAAATGGCTTCGCAAACTATATAGCCTTTCTTTGGCAATGGGTATAATTGTTGCCAAAATATTGG